TCAGTAGTAGTGTCAATGCTTTTTATTAGCACTGATCACTGTATTGGTGTCACTGGGGATGTCAGTGACACCAAGTCAGTTCCCCCCCAGTGTCAGAATGCCCACCGCAGTCCCACAGTCCTCTTATAAGTTGCTGATCACCACCAATACTAGTAAAAAAAAATTCCATTATATATACCACCATTTGTAGACGCTATAACTTTCATGTAAACCAATTAATTTACATGTATTTTGTAGCAGAATACATTTTGGCCTAAATTTATGATGAAATTTTTATAGCAAAAAGTAAAAAATATTGTTTTTTTTTTCTAAAATTGTTGGTCTTTTTTTGTTTATAGCACAAATAATAAAACATGCACAAGCGATCATATATCACCAAAAGAAAGCTCAATTTGTGGGCAAAAAGGACATACATTTAATTTGGGTGCAGCGTTGCATGACCACGCAACTTTCAGTTAAAGTAACGAAGCACCATATTGCAAAAAATGGCCTGGTCAGGAAGGGGGGTAAATATTCTGGAGGTCAAGTGGTTAAAAATGTGGCTGTTAGAGACATTTGACTTTTTTTCTGCCTCTAAATGCTCCTCTATGTTATCCTAGTCACTAGGCAAATTTAGCACATTTAGCGTTCATTTAATTCAGTGGCCAGAATAATTTAATATTCTGGCCAATAAAATGAATGAACATCAAAACACTTAAAACAAAACATGCCTAAATGTGTTTTTTAACGCTACTTTTCTCCTGTCAGGACAAAGGTATTCACAAAAGCTGGGCAAATGCCCAGTGTGCATGAGGCCTAAAAGTCAGTGTTCATATTCACCATGTCAGTTGTGACAAGTATACAAAAATAGTGACTTCAATGCGTTTTGCCAATGGCTTCATCAGCAAGACATACTACTGGGCCGTAGGAAAGAAAGATGGACAGACCATCTTCACAAGTTTTAATATACACAAAGTGTGTGTGTCCAGGAGCTTTTTACAGACACTATGAAGTCCATGGTGAAATTCTGCTTCAGAGCCTTTTAGCTTTTAGCCTGCTGTTGGTATTTCTAAATTAATGTATTTCCTAATATATCTAATCAAAAATAAATAAAAGCAGTGATATCCAACACATTGTATAAAGATGATTGCATTTCTTGTAGGCTGCATTCCTACCATTATGTTTTACTTGTTATCCTGTAATCAGGCTGTATTTTGCATAATAAATGTAAAACACTAAGTAAGTAATTGTTCCTTCTAAATGACTTCCTTTTAAAGTGCAGTCTGGTAGGAAAGTGCCCATAAATCAGGTTGTTATCATTAATGCACAGACAATATTAGAAAACATGTTCCTTCGATTTAATGCTACTCAGTCTTAAACATCTCTTGTTTCTGGGAAAGGCTAATAAAAAGAAAAAAGAATAAGAAGATGCCTGTTTGTCCCTTTGGAACATATTATAGTTGATTGATAACCTAAAAGGAAGACGTATGATTAACTTTATTGCCTGTTATTTCTACCATTGCTGTTTTTCCAGTTTGGGTTCAAACCAATTAAAACCATAGTTCATATCTTGGTCACCAGGGATTCTAATAATCTTCTAAACTGCATTTGTCTTTCCCAATTCTGTAGACAGAAGGTAGCAACAATTCTTCTGAAGCTCTTTATGTACACCCAAGTTTAACAAAAAAGGAAAATATACCCGTTCTTTGGGTTGTTAAATGATACAAAAACATCCCAAACACTATAAATAAAAAGGGAATGTGTACTGCAATGCTCTTCCATATTACAAAAAAGACTAAAATATTAATAAATAAAACAAATTGTTTTCATGTTTATACATGTAAGTGTGAAATATTGCACACAAATATTGATTATTTACATTTACAGCCATCTCTAGGATAATTTTTAGGTGTTTATCAAGCTAACCTTAGCTGCTTTGTTTAAAAAGCCTGTTTATAGATCTCAGTATTTGAAGCTCAAATTTATGCACACATTAAACATAGCTTCATTTTATTACTAAATTAAAGGAAACATCCACATTTATGAAAATTCTTTACTTTAGTGAAGTGTGATCCATCTACCCCTATCTGCTCTGTTCATATTGGATTGAAACAAAAGAGCTTCTATGGTGTTTTTGTGACGTTGTCTTGTATTAAATATTTATTTGCAAAGTCAAGATTTTAGAAGTATAAGAATATATGTCAGTTTTAAAATACAGAAACTTCGAAAGTTGACCTAAACTATTATAGATTCTGTTTAAAAAACTGCTTTTATTTCTTTCCAGAGAACCTGTTTTCGTGTATCTACATTTCAACAGCAAACTTTTTTGCTATAATAGTAGCTGGCAAACGGGTGGCACGTATATTACTAATTATCCCAGTGGTAATTAAAATCTTCATGACCAGAACAAATTTTAAAGTTTTGTTATGTACTGGTTTACTCAGCAATAACTGAATAAATGAATATTTTAGCACAAATGGAGCTTTTACATTATAATTATAGTAGAAAAATCCTCCTGTGCTCAAAATGGGTCCTAATTCTCAAGCTGCTGGCACTAACCTCTTTACCAAAATGAGTGAAGTGACTAAATATATATACAAATAGTGCAGCGCTGCAAATAAATAAATAAATACAAATAAATACAGAACCCCCCAGTGCATACAGGGAGTAAAATATACACAGTGCAAAACGTGTAATAAAGTGTACATGTGACCAGTGTCCAATCCAACACTCGTGAAAAACATATCCAACAAATTTATATATAAAAATGTCCAATATTGGTGCTCATCACAATAATATTCATACAACTTTATATCAAAGGTCCAATCTTGGTGCTCAGAAAAAAACTTATGCAGGTGCTAAAACGTGTTCACTCTTGTGCAAATCCTGAATGGCTAAAGTGCCCCCTCACCTCCTTATGTCGACCCTACAGGGTCAGCTCGCTCAGAGATATAAACCCCTCAGGATGGTATCAGGATTATTAGCCCAAATCCACTTCAACGTATTCCAATCTTCCCATACACAGCCCAGTCAATGATGTTCTCTCCAGGCCATATATAGACAGAAAACCTCCATAGTGTAAAACCTTTTTATTAGGGTATAAACAAATAAAAATGCCCACTCACATAATCCTTCGCCTCTGACACTGCAGATCTGCCACATGCTGGAATTGTACTGCATGGGTATATAATACAGGATTTTCAAATATGGCTCCCATGAGTTGTTTTCTGAGCACCAAGATTGGACCTTTGATATAAAGTTGTATGAATATTATTGTGATGAGCACCAATATTGGACATTTTTATATATAAATTTGTTGGATATGTTTTTCATGAGTGTTGGGTTGGACATTGGTCACATGTACACTTGATTACACGTTTTGCACAGTGTATATTTTACTCCTTGTATGCACTGGGGGGTTCTGTATTTATTTGTATTTATTTATTTATTTGCAGCGCTGCACTATTCGTATATATATTTACATGCTAATTGTTTTTCAAAAATATCCTGAATATAGTTTATATTTAAGCAGAGAAATTGGTGGAAATTGCATTGGTTTGTGTTCAAAGGCTTGGCCCACTTTTTGGGCCATGTCTCTGTTACACCTAAAATTAGGATATAACATGAAGCATGGTTGCATGCACAAGCTCCCTAAACCCAAACTGCTCCCTCGCCCTCCTTACCTGAATCGTGGATTGCTCCTTGCTGTAGGTTTTTTTTTTTTTTTTGTTAACTTCAGTGCAGGATCACCGAATGAAAATACCCATCTGACATCTCAGGGACATAAAAGCAACTGTAAAGCTCCATTACAGAAGGTCTGTACCAGCATATGGACCTGGGGCTGCGGCAAAAACAATTCACGACTCTATGCATTGTAGCCACAGTTGCAATGCTCTGTTGGTCTGAATGCAAACATGTAATAAATGCACCTTTTTTTTTTATTTTAACTCATAATGTATTTTATATTATTTATACTATTTAATATATTTATATAATTTTTTTCTCCTATTTATCCTGACCACAGGAACTGCAAAAATGTGGGGGTTTTGATACATATGTCAGCACTGTTTGTAAACAAGTAAACAAGTGCGTATATTTTACATAGCTAGATATTGGGAAAATAAAGAGAAAATTTTGCTAGGTAAAAGATTGTGTGTGCTTGTGACGCAGTGAAAAACAAAGACATGCAACACTGTAAATAGGCGATGCACTGAAATACATTATAGGCCATTAATTCATGAGTAAAATGAAATGACAGCCTAATGTTATTAACTTACTCTGGCATGTGTAAGACTGTGTCTTGGCACCAGTGTCTTGACTATGTGTATATGTGTATGTACACTATATTACCAAAAGTATTGGGACTCCTGCCTTTACATGCACATGAACTTTAATGGCATCCCAGTCTTCGTCCATAGGGTTCAAAATTGAGTTGTCCCACCCTTTTCAGCTATAACAGCTTCAACTCTTCTGGGAAGCCTGTCAACAAGATCTAGGAGTGTGTCTATGGGAATGTTTGACCATTCTTCCAGAAGCGCATTTGTGAGGTCAGGCACTGATGTCGGACGAGAAGGCCAGGCTTGCAGTCTCCTCTCTAATTCATCCAAAAGGTGATCTGTCGGGTTGTGGTGAGGACTCTGTGCACACCAGTCAAGTTTCTCCACCCCAAACTTGCTCATCCTTATCTTTATGGACCTTGCTTTGTGTACTGGTGCGCAGTCATGTTGGGACTGGAAGGGGCCATCCCCAAACTGTTCCCACAAAGTTGGGAGCGTCAAGTTGTTCAAAATGTCTTGGTATGCTGATGCCTTAAGAGTTCCCTTCTCTGGAACTAAGAGGCCAAGCCCAAACCCTAAAAAACAATCCCACACCATAATCCCTCCTCCACCAAATGTTACACTTGGCACAATGCAGTCAAGCAAGTACCATTCTCCTGGCAACCGCCAAATCCAGACATGTCCATCGGATTGCCAGACAGAGAAGCGTTATTCGTTACTCCAAAGAACACATCTCCACTGCTCTAGAGTCCAGTGGTGGCGTGCTTTACACCATTGCATCCAACGCTTTTCATTGCACTTGGTAGTGTAAGGCTTGGATGCAGCTGCTCGGCCATAGTAACCCATTCCATGAAGCTCTCTATGCACTATTGTTGTGCTAATTTGAAGGCCACATGAAGTTTGGAGGTCTTTAGCTATTGACTCTGCAGACAGTTGGCAACTTCTGTGCACTGTGCACTTCAGCATACACTGATCCCGCTCTGTCATTTTACGTGGCCTACCACTTCATGGCTGAGTTGCTGTTGTTCCCAGTTGCTTCCACTTTGTTATAATACCACTAATAGTTGACTGTGAAATATTTAGTAGCAAGGAAAATTCACAGATGGACTTATTGCACAGGTGGGCATGCTTGAATTCACTGAGCTCCTGAGAGTGACCCATTCTTTCACAAATGTTTGTAGAAGCAGTCTGCATGGCTAGGTGCATTCTTTTATACACCTGTGGCCATGGAAGTGATTGGAACACCTGAATCCAATGATTTGGAGGGGCGTCCCAATACTTTTGGCAATATAGTGTATGTGTGCGTGCTTGGATAGAAAGGGATCTTTTCATTTTTTTGTATTTATGGAGATATCAGGAATCTATTCTCATGTCTTCCCTGCCACTAGCCTATGTGAGCCCTGATCTGCTTCTACATTCAGAATCTGTCTTGGGATTTTGATGGCTAATCTATGAGCACTTCTCGGTTCATTTTCAGCAGGAAGAGATCAGGAAAGGATGTTTACAATCTTCTTCATCCTATCTCTATCTGAATTGCTTCCACAGCAGTCCCAGGCTCATAGAAGAATCAGGGGAGCCTGAGACACTCTCCTGTCATAGGAACCTTGCTGGTAGTGATGGGCTGAACACCCCTGTGTTAGGTTCGCGGTTGAACATTTGAACCTAATGAACTTCAAACTCAATGCAAGTCTATGAGACTCAAACTTGTAAATTCAAAAGTTTGAAAGCTTACCAAAAAAAGGGGTATGGGGACTCGAGAGACAATGTGATTGATGATGGATTACATCAATGGAATCATGCTTTTTAGGCTTTTTTTCTAATTAAATTTTTCTAATTTTAATCTAAATAAATTTAACCCTTTAATGAATTGGTAGGGGTAAGTACCCTTTACTCATTCACAAGGGGGGAGGCAGCATCAGAGTGCCCACTTATTTAAAGGGGTACCCTAATGCTAATCAGCCCCCTTGCCCATCAGACCCCCACAATCACCGGGCCAGGGCTGTGGGGAAGAGGCCCTTGGAATGCCAAGAGCATGTGGCCTGGTAAGCCACAGGGAGGGGGGGGGGGTTCCGATCGCCCCACCCTTTCCTGACCCCTTAGGCTTATGATCGGATCATGGGTTTGGTAGGAATCTAGGGGGGACCCTACGTATTTTTTCCCCCATTTTTGGGGGGTGGGGTTTCCCTTAAAAGTCCTACCAGGCCTAAAGGACCTGGTATGGCTTTTAGGGGGAACCCCATGCACTTTCCCCCAATTTTTGGGAGGCGGGGTTCCCCTTAAAATTTCCACCAGACCTAAAGGGCCTGGTATGGATTTTACAGGGAACTCCACACACTTTTTTTTATTGTGGGGTCCTCCTAACCTTCCTACAGACCTAAAGGGTCTGGTAGAGATTGGGGGGAACCCACGCTGTTTTTTTTTTTAATATGTTTTTGTTTTATTTTTTATTTTTTTTATTATTATTACTATTATTTATTTTTTTTTTTATCGAGGAGAGTATTCTCCCCCTCCAGCAACACACTGCATAAGACTGCAGTGTAAGCAGCCTTATATAGTGTGGGTTGGGGACTGTGCACTGTGAGAGCGCAATGCATTGTGGGGTGTTTGGTTGTGCCTTCACACCGTAACCCTTCAGAGTTAATTTGACAAGTGCAGGATTGGACTCTGCTTTAAAATATTCGAATTATATGTTCCTGTCACGCAATGTGTTGAAGAAATGGGCCTTGGGTGTTGGTGCCTCTGCACTGTAACCTCTTACAGTTACTCTTGATGAGCGTGGGAATTGGCACTGCTCTAAAAAACTGAAATATATGCACCTGTCACACAGATGTGGAAAAATTGGGCCTTGGGTGGTGGTGGTGCCTGAACATCGTAACCTCTCAAATTTACTCTTGGTGAGCACTGGAATAGCCCTGCTGTTAAAAATTGTTAAAAATTTTAAATAAATTGTAAGAAAATTTAAATTAGGTGCACCTGTCAAACAGGTGCCAAAAAAATGGGCCTTGGGTGTTGGTGTCGCCCTAAACCAAAAACATTGTTGGAAGCTAGCATAATCAGGAATCGGATAGGCAGCATAGGCAGTCTTCAAGGTATCCCAGATCCCTATCAACTTTAATCAATTGCATCAGCATCAGGGGCTTGATAGCTGCTGTTGATCCAGGACTGATTCATTTTGATAAATGCCAGCTGGTCAACGGAGGCTGTGGACAGACACACTCTTTTATCCATCACAAAACCTCCAGCAGCACTGAATGTCCATTTGGAAAGCACGCTGGATGGAGGACAGGCCAGTAGCTCAATTGCATACTCGATTGCATAGCAAGTTCTGGCCAGTGATCCATCCTGAAGACCCAGTAACCCAGAGGATCCTCAGTTGCAAAGGTCTCCAAGTCTGCTCTTGTCCCTAGATAATGCTGCACCATATGATGCAGACTGCTTCCAATGGGTGCTTAAACCTAACAGCCTTGGGTGCTGAGGACTAAAGAATTGTTTAAAGGCATCAGTCAGCCGGTGCCTTCTTCACCACTCCTCCTTTGACCGAACGAAGCCTCAGAAACACATTGTTCTGGAAATGGTAACCTCCCAGTGTCTTCAAAGGTGTTACACAATTTTTTCTTCAAAGAATCCTCAAGATGTTTCTTTCTCTGCTCTGTATGCATAGGCAGGATGAGCTCTGCAACTTTACGCTTGTAACGTGGATCAAGAAGGGTTGTCATGCAGTAATGATCCCTCTCCTTGATACCAGAAATCTTTTTGCAGGCTTTGCAGAATCAGGGAGCCCATGCAGCGTAAGTTTGAGGGGCATGAGATTCTGAGTCCTCTGGGTCACTGAGGATGACAACTGTCAGGGAACTAATTCTCCCCAGCCACGTACTACTCCTGGGGTTTCTGGGGACTGAAACCATATCTTGCTGACTGCCTTATGTTGTCCTCTAATTCCATACTGCCACAGTCCTCCTCCTCCTTTTTCTCCTCCTCCAGTATGTTCTGCTGCACCGCAGGAATGGTATCTGCAAAAAGGGGCCTTGAGAGGAAACTAAGTCCTCCTCTTCCTCAAGTGCCCTGACCATGATTCCACGCAGCGTGTGCTCCATCAGAAAGTGTTGGGGATATTGTCATTGATGCATGCATTGTCGCACCTCATCATCCTTGTGGCCTTCTCAGATGGTGACAGGACAGTGCATACATCCTTTATCAGCAGCCACATGGCAAAAAGAAGCCAAGCTCCCCTGAGCCTTTTCTTGTGCCATACCCACACAGGTAATAATTGATGTCCCTCTGCTGCATGTGCAGCTGCTGCAGCATTGCCAATATTGAGTTCCACCTGGTGGGCATGTCACAAATGAAGTGGTTGGTGGGCAGGTTGAATTCCCGTTGAATGTGAGCCATGTAAACACTGTATGACTGCCAGAAATGGCAACAGAAGATCTTGTAAGCCTGGGTACCTGTTCAACAAATGCTGCACCACCAAATTCAGGACGTGTGCCAAGCATGGAACATAGTGTGTCAAGTGTCCCTGTCGGAGGGCAGAGAGAAGGTTGGTGCCATTATTGCATACAACCATTCCTGGCTCAAACTGCTGTGGCATCAATCACCTCTGAGCCTACCCCTGCAGAGATGACAGAATCTCTGCCCCACCTGTGGCTCCTGTCCCCTAGACAGACCTGCTGAAGCACGCATGGTATCTTTTAGCCTGACTTCTTGCATAGCCCCTTGAACGCTTAGTGAGCACTGCTGAAAAAGTGGACAATTCAGCAGAAGAGGCCATAGAGGAAGAGGAGGGGGTGGAGCAGACAGATATGGCAGAATCACCACCAGTTTTTGTAGGCATGGTGGCGGGACAGTTTCAGCATTGAACCCTGTCCTGCATCCTTCCCAAAGCTTTAAAGAGCAACTCCACTTTTGTGGAGTTATGGGTGATCCTATGTACATAGCAGGGATTTTAAAAAACTTTGTTGCAGATTCCTACCTTTTGTTAGTCTAAGGAAATAGCTGTTTTGTTTGTCTGTGTTCATGTGCAAAGTGAATGTGAATGGGAGTGACTTTTAAGCTATCTAACAGCTTCTACACTTACAGGATTTTAATGAGGAAAGTGGCAAGGTCTGAAAACCTTTTGATGTGATTTCCCTTTGGGAGTATCTCACCAAAAATTAAATTTTTGTTGCAGAGGATGCCCAAAATCTGGCTATCTTAGTGCAAACGTCTGGTAAAATCAGTGGTCCAATCACACAAGAAGAAAATTACATATCTGGGGGGCATTCAGCACACCATCTGTGTACAGAACACCTCCAGGTTGCCATATTATATTGCATTTTAGAGAAAATTATAGCACTAGATTGAAAAGGAAAGGTAATTTTAAATAACAGTCCGTTATTTCTAATGGGAGGCAATATTTGTATAATAGAGTAAATCAGATTTTGGGTCTTTCTTTAGACCCTCTGTAGATATGTTGGTGATGCCATTCTTTCTGCTCTTTATACTCTTTTGAACCTTCTTTCTCCACATTACCAGCATTTTAATAGTTTCTTCCAGGGATATATAGATAATACTCTGCAGAGAGAGGAACTAAAATGCTGGACTGTCAAATTATGATTGTGTTATCAGGCCTATATTGTGATCTACGGCAGATCCACAACCTGGGGTTTTTGAGGAGCATTAAAAACAGGTATACCTTTAATTAAACTGCTGCTATCTATTGATTTGTCCCCATTGACTTGAATGGAGATGTATGCTGAGGATTCCTAAACTCTATATTGGGCCACATTCAAGTCAACTGGGAATCAGCATGCATGGTCAGCGCTAATAAAAAAATATAATGGACAAGCCGGAAAAACTGAAGGAGGCCACAGCTCTGCTAAGCTAAGATAGCATCTGGGCTGGGGGGTTTAGTGCAGTTTGACTTGGGAGGGCTGGAGGTAGTGCGTTAGTGATAATTTAGTGTAAAAGTGGAGCCATAGTTTAAAGGCCCAAGGGACCAAACCCTTCTGTAAATTACTAGAAGCAGGGGAGAAAATCTACACTTAAAAGTGTAAATCACTAAGCAGCAAAAAAGTGCTGCCTCTAGAAATGTGTGCAGCTACTTATACTCTACTCAAAGCAAAATGCTAATTTTGAAAAAAGCAAGATAAAGCAAGGCTGTACAGCATTTAGTTTTTTTTTTGTTTTTTTTGTTTACCAGTTTTGCCTACAGTAAA